TTCTCCCTTAGCTCGTCAATCTCGAGCATGAGGTTGTGGACCTTCTTGCGCTGACTGAACAGCTGCCTCTCGTACAAGACCACACGGGACTGAGACTGCAAAATTGTCACGTCCAGACGGAGTACCTCATGAGCTAGCGTGAGAGGGGGCCACGAGGTAAGGTCCTGCAGCGTACGTGTGGGCTTCTCACTACTGATCGCGTCAGGGTCTAGGGTGTCGTGTGGAAGCACCGCGTCGTGTTCACGCACCGCGTTTTGCACCTGGGCGCCCTTTACAACCTCCTTCTCTCCCGCCCCGCCACTCGCCGCGACCCCCCCTGCTGCCTTCTCGCCCTCCACCTCGGACATCCCCCCCACCAGCATGAGTCCTCCCTGCCGTAAACTCCTCACTGCTATTGACGATCGCCAGGTCCTGCGAATGTTTAATAATCTTCTAGCGCAGGGCCTTGAGCGACTTGGTCTTCACGGCGCGGAAACGAACTTCGGATCACTGGACAGGGCGACAAACTCCTAGAGCACCCGGTAGAACCCATGCAAGAAGCGTACTGCAGACCCACCCCTCATGTCATCCATCGAGGACAAATCCTGCGCAAAATCACGAGGGCAATTACGTCACCTCGAGGTTTGTTGCAGAAATGCGTACCAAGCAACGCGTGAATAAAACTTCCCAGCGCGTGAATGAAACTTACCATTGTCTCGCGTTTCAGGGCCGCTGCCTCTGCACTGCAAGGGTCATGCTGGGTTATGGTGCAGAGGCAGCCAGGTTGGATACGGTGGCATTGAATCAACTGCAAACGGCATGGGTCGCAAGGTAGACGTGGAAGGCGAGCAACAAGTACCCAACGCAGGAGTAATAGGGTGGGAAACAACTCGTTTTTATGCTCACGTGCACAAACAACCCCAATACAAGATAAACCAAGAAAGCACATCAGAAGGCACGCGCGTGAAAGAACCCCCCATTAACAAATGCCAAAATAGACTGACGAGATGTGGCACGTGAAAACTTACAGACAGAATCGCATTCTTTGCCAGTCGACCAAGGAGAAACATGCTCACTCGTGAATGGAGGACACCATCTTCCCGTGCACATCCGAGCCGGAGGCGGGGTCGATGTGCACCATCCGCGTGAGACAAGCATCACCATTGGAAAGCGTGAGGTGGTCGGGGTGGGCGATCAGCAAGATGCTGTAGCACCGCACACCGTCATCGTTCTTGTGCATGTGGGATGGGAGATCAAGGGAGATGAAACTCTGCACACGGGATGGGAGAATGCCCAAACACAAAACCATGCCGCCTGACTGTACCTCGACCAAAGAGGAAGCACGAGGAGCTCGCGCTCCAGTAGGTGTTGCTCGGAAGAGCAGCGCCATGCACTCTGTAGTGAGATTCGTGGTGGTTTGCACGCGCTCGCCCTCGCTTTTTATCAGGATGCATCTGGTTCAAGGACGGAAATACACGTGAGCCGGTGGTTCGCATGAAAGATGTGAAAAGCATAGGATATTGCTGCGATGAGCGCAGTGATTCACCGAGTAACATGCTCACATGCACGCAACGTCAAGGCACGGCGTGGTAAAATCCTAATCTTTGTTCACGAGGACTTCCTTGTCCGCGCCCGCAAGCAAGCGGGACACGTGGCCTCCCTCGATCGCCACGTCGAACTTCTTCGAACTTGCCATCGGGTCACCCTGAAGGGCGCGCAGTTCACAGGCCATACTGAGGCGCGAACCAAATACACAACGGACAAAACGACAATGCCAGGACTACAACCGCTGTCCGCGTGAAAAAACATTACACAAATATGGTGGTGGATATAGTTTGATACGCGTGGGACAAGAATGCTAGGGCTGCAAGGCAATCCACGCGTCAGGAATACGGGAGCCAGTCCGCGTGCCATAAGGTGAACACATAACGCATTTAAAAAGGAAGCGCACGACTTGCAGCAATAATAACCGACGCGCGAGTAACTACTCAGCGCGTGAAGCCTGTCAAGTGGAGGGGTGTTGGCGGCTCTAAAACCGCGTCAACTGAGGATAGCCTGGCGTGCTTCCGCCAGAAAAAACGAAAGCGCGCGCGAAAATGTATGTGTCAGGCTAAAAGTACAAGACACACGCGCGTGAACTGGTGATACGCATGAAAGGTGTTATGACGAGAGCAGATTTAGACTCTATATCCGCGTGAACGAAGCCTGGCGGGCCTCTAGCAACAACAAAACAGCGCAAACACCACATCCAATGCACCAACACACCAAGACCCACACCCCATGACTCTCCTATTGATTGTCAGGTTGGAGGGAGAGCTGGAAGGAGGAGTTGGAAAAATGGGATGCAACGATGGAAAATGAAAATGAGGCCCTGCCGCGGCCTATACCCCCCAGCTGGCGTCGAAATTTTATTGTGCAAATTCGCGCTTGTCTGAAAATCTGCTCGTCTGAAAAGAGGCTTTGAAAGACGCCCCTAAATCTCGGAAAGGCGAATCTCACTTCCCACTTCACGGAATCGCACTGAAACATTTCGCGTCAAAATTTGTGACACTGAAGCACGCGAGTCTGGGAAGAGATTGCTTGGGAAGAGGCTGGTAGGAACACGCTCTAATGCAAGCTTCTTGTAAAATAATCATACAACCAACCTTTCCAACCAGGGCCTCAGATTCGTTTAGAGGCACCCTGATAGCTCAGGGTCCCCCCACCTTGGTCTCCTGATTTTTCAGGCCTCTCCAAAAAAATTTCCCTGATCCATCAGGGTCCCTAGATTTTTTCACGCCGAGTAAACATGATTATACACAGTAAGCACGCTAGGTAATATATGCCTAGTATTATGCGGTAGCATGGTTCCCAATGGCAGCAGGCGCAAAGGGACCAAGGCTAGGTTTGGGCTCTGAAAGTAGGACCGCGTCGGAAACAAAAATGGACGGTCGCATTCAAGTCGGCGGGATAGACAGGGAGGGTTGGGGAACCTCACGGAAATCACGGGTGGAGGGGTGGGGGCTGCGAATCTGCTATTACACGAATCTGGACAAACAGGGCTCACTACACTAGTAACGCTGATCGATCAGAGTTCAGGCCTGTGTCTTAAAAAAATCATGTCTCATCAGGGTCGCATGTTAAAGTAGGTTAGGATCTAGGTAGGAGGGAAGCCATAGAAATGGTGAGAGGTTTTAGCTAGGAGAAAGTTGACGAGAGAAAAGGGGTCGAGAATAGAAGAGAGGCATACAAGGAGGGGGGTTGTACCCTCTACAGTAGGTTTCAGTAACACCTACCAAGCCTACCAATTATATTGTCTTGAAGTGAGCTAGCAAGAAAGGAGAAGGCCGCCATGGAATGGCGGCCGAGGTTAAGCTAGGAAGATTGACGAGAGAGAAGAGGGTTCGATTAGGAAGAGAGAGGGGTACAAGGAGGGGATTGTGTTAAATTATATATTGAGTTATATAATTGTTAGGCTTGATAGGTTACCGAACTTTACTGTAGAGGGTACAATCCCCTCCTTGTATGCCTCTTTCCTTCTATTCCAGCCCTCTTTTCTCTCCTCAACTTTTCTCCTTCCTAAACCTCACGCCACTCCATGGCTCCTCCTAGCTAAACCTCATGCCTTTCCTAGCTTCCTAGCTAAGCTAGCCTTCTAACATGCTATCAGAGCAGGAGGTCCTCCTTGCTGGACCGCCTCCTCACGCTTCCGCCGCGTACTTCTCACCCTCGTTCGCTCGCGCGGCCATGGCGGCCGCGTTTTGCTGCAGTGGCGGCGTCGTGATGCCGCTGGCCGCGTTGTGCCGCGGCCGTCTCGACGCGCGGCCGTCGTGTCGGGCCGTCGTAATGCCGTCGCAGCGTCGACGCCGCTCTGTGACGGCGTCGTCGGGCTGCAGCCGGCCGCGCGACGCCTGTGGCGCGCTAGACCGGCCGTCCGCATGCCAGCCTGTGCCCCCCCCCCCCCCCCCCCCCCCCCCCCCCTCCTTCCCCTGTGTCCTCTTCTTTTCCGCAGACGACGGTCGACTCCCGCCGGCCGTCCCACCGTCGCGGGGCCTGGCCACGTCACCGAGAGGTGCGGGCGCCGCCGCCGCCGCCGCTGTCGCCGCTTGCGTCGGGGCCACGCAGCCGCACGCCGCCGCCGCCGCCGCCGCTGTCGACACTGCCGCTGCTGTCGCCGTCGCCGCCGCAGCCCCTGCGGTCGACGTCGCCGCCTCACGCGCCCAGGGGTCAACCGAGCTAGTGTCGCTGTCACTGTGGCTGGAATGGGGGTGCTAGGTTAGGGGGTGTGGGGGTGTGTGGGCTTGTGACTACCAAGCCTAGGGGGTGTGCTAAATTATATATTGAGTTATATAATTGTTAGGCTTGGTAGGCTACCGAACTTTACTGTAGAGGGTACAATTCCCTCCTTGTATGCCTCTCTTTCTATTCCAGCCCTATTTTCTCTCCTCAACTTTTCTCCTTCCTAAACCTCACGCCACTCCATGGCTCCTCCTAGCTAAACCTCATGTCTTTCCTAGCTTCCTAGCTAAGCTAGCCTTCTAACAGATTGTACCCTCTACAGTAAGGTTCAGTAACAAGTACCAAGCCTATCAATTAAATATAACATATATAATTTTAACATATATAACAAAATATATAATTTAACATCACCCCCCAAAAAAGCCCTGAATTGACCCTGAATCAGGGCAAAAAACCTGCAATCTGAGGCCCTGTTTCCAACCAACCTATCTTGTATACAACAGAAGTTTTGGGGGCTTTTTTCCTATTCCAAAAGGGGGAACACTTGAAATGCACTGAAATGCATCAGACTGCTGGGAGCGAAGAAGATGGAGCTTCAACATGCTAACCTCATCTTGAATGATAGAGGTGGTCATAAAATCCCATGTCCTTTTTTAGGTTGATGTCAGGCGGAGTGCATCACCAGCAGAAGCCAAAGCATTGGAGACACAAGCTTGTGGATGAGGGGTGAGGGAGTTAGCACTCAGGAGCCATGACTTGAAAAATACAAAGATATGATAAAATGGTATTGCAAACCTTAGTCACAAACTAGATCACAATAACCGCGAAGTCAAGCAACGTAATAACGTCATCAGCAATTGTATAATAGTGGTACAACAACATGCTAAAAGATTCCCAAGTATTTCAAATTGTTCCTAATATCCACACCTAGAACGGTTCTTTCCGCTAGCTCAGGGTGGGTTCCCAGGCCCGCTCGAGGGCGCACCGGAGCCGCCCCCCTTTCCACCTTTGCCTCCCTTCCCACCCTTCCCGCCCTTCCCTCCCTTTCCGCCCTTCCCTCCCTTTCCTCCAGGCGCAGGCTCACTGCCAGGTGCACTAGTACCTCCGCCCTTCCCGCCCTTTCCACCTTTTCCTCCCTTCCCGCCCTTCCCTCCCTTCCCGCCCTTCCCGCCAGGCGCGGGCTCACTGCCGGGTGCGCCGAAACCGCCAAAATCGCCGACACCGGGCCCGCTGGAGGGAGCACCGGCGTTAAGCCCGCCACCCTTCCCGCCTTTACCACCCTTGCCTCCCTTCCCGCCCTTTCCACCCTTGCCGCCCTTGCCGCCCTTTCCGCCAGGTGCGGGCTCACTGCCGGGTGCGCCAAATCCGCCAAAATCGCCGGCGTCAGGCCCGCTAGAGGGAGCGCCCGCGTTAAGACCACCACCCTTCCCGCCCATACCACCCTTGCCTCCTTTCCCGCCCTTTCCACCCTTGCCGCCCTTTCCACCCTTGCCACCCTGTCCGCCAGGTGCACGCTCACTGCCGGGTGCGCCAAATCCGCCAAAATCGTCGACGCCAGGCGCGCTAGTGGGTGCACCATTGTTACCACCGCCCTTACCGCCCTTGCCTCCCTTCCCGCCCTTGCCGCCCTTTCTGCCCGGCTTTCCGCCAGGTGCGGGCTCACTGCCGGGTGCGCCAAATCCGCCAAAGTCGCCAGCACCAGGGCCGCTAGAGGGTGCGCCGTTATCACCGCGGCCGCCCTTCCCGCCCTTACCACCCTTGCCGCCCTTCCCGCCCTTGCCGCCTTTCCCGCCTTTTCCGCCCTTACCGCCCTTTCCTCCAGGACCCGGAAGTGGTCCGCTAATGGGAGCGCCGCCGAATCCGCCGGGAAAGCCGCCGCCAGGCCCGCTCGCTGGAGCACCAGCGCCGGGGCCGAATTCCGGGGGACCCTCAGGACCGCCGATTTCGCTACCTGGGGCGCCGTCTCCGCCTTCCGGGGGAGCCTGCTGGTCGCCGCCACCCGGGAGGAAGTCTGGGTCGCCAGGCCCGATGGCTGGCGCGCCGTTTTGTTCCAGCAGGTTGGACAGGAGGATGGTTGGCGACTTGCTGGGGGTCTTGAGGAGCATGAGGGGCTTGAGCAGCAGACTGCGACGCGCGGATAAGAACCCCTTGGTCGCTGCGCGCATAGAAACGGACCAACAGCGTAAGGCGAGAATTTTGCGTCGGAGGGACAGCGAGGCTTTAGGGCAGAACGAAAATTTGCGGCAGAACGAAACGGCGGGTTGTCTACAAGTGAATGCGCCATGATGGTACTAGTAGGAAGGAGCAGAGACAGGGCTGGTTAGGGTAGAGCTTACCAGGGGCGACGTATGCTGACGTCAAGAGGAGCGCAAAAAGAACCAGAGGCACGGCCGCGCCTCGCATTGTCCAAGCCATGGTGGCGGCGCGCGACAGGTAGAGTGATTGGGAATGGATCCCGAAGTGGCTGGTGACCAGAAGAAATCCGGAGATGGAAGGCCGAAGTAGCTGGCCAGAAGTAATCGAGATGAAGTTGTAGAGTTGGTGGTGGCGTGGCAAGTGTTGCTGATGGCTGTGGTAGTGACAAGTGCCATTTAATATGGGAGTATGGTGGGGTGGGATGGGAAATTGATACGCGGCTCGCGAGCATTTTGGCGGGATGATACATCCCGTGCCAGGTTGATCGCGTGAGTAGCGGTCCTTCCATTACGGAAACGAGCGGGTGACGACAAATTGCGACTTTCGCGAAAAAAGACAGCGAAGTGCTGGCGAGTGGCGAATACAGTTGTGATCTACATTCAGGTGATTTCTAGCCTGCGTTGCGATGCCGAAATTGAGTGGATCGCAATTTCCTTCGCCGAATGACACGGCGAGCTGGAATGCCGTGTCGCAGGGACAACTCCGTCATTTGCTCTTGTTAGAAACTTGTTGACCAGATTTCATTCGCTCTCGGGTGGAATTTCTGGCCACCTAAGGGCGCGGGACATCCAATTCGTAATTTCAAGAACGGTCTGAATTTCTAGGTGGTTATTAATTTCGCTAGTTTCGTCAGAGCGTCGCATGTAGGCTGGCCCAAATTCAGAACTTGGAACGTCACAGGTTAGCACCTACCGACATACAAAGTTCGGCAGGTGGTTCGAACCATCGATGGAATGGTTCGTACTGCCCAAAGCGTAATGGTTCGGAATTTGACGTAACGCAATGGATGTCCCGCGCCCTAATCTGGTGACTTGGCAGAGAGGGATGACATGGCAGCGCCGTCCACAAGGAAGCTATAAATCTAGGAAAGCGTTTACTGTACCTTTATTAATCGAAGTTAACATATATTACGGTCTGCTTTAGGGCGTACACCTCTTTAATGATCTGGCGCTGTGGATCTATCATGCCCTGCACAAGCCCATCCATGAACCAATAGTCAGGTTTCGCTAATCGGGCAAGCTTCTCATAAAATAATAGTGGGAACAACAGTAGTACTGGGGTACGAATTTTGAGGAAGTGATGAAAATAGACAGGTAACCGTACTGTACCGCCCTGTAGTGTCAAAAGTTGACTTTCCGTGATTCGCTGCGAGGTTGCGCGCGGACAGACTTCCAGCCCGCTGGCTGGTTGCCTTTCCTGCTAACAGCCAGTTGCCGTTAGTCGATTGGTTGAAAACGCGCTGTAAGGGCGGGTCCAAATAGTTCACACTCTATTCATTTCGTGAAAACTAAGGGCGTGTCCCCAAAAATTGTTAACCCGTTTTTGACACGCTGAGCCGTTTGACGGTACGCAATGTGAATCGATTTTGAAACCGATTCCGATTTGGGAGCATGTCCCAAATCAAGGGTGCAGTTCGGAAGGACAGCACCGAGACCAGCACAGACATAGGAGCGGGTAACGGGGTCCCGCCATGCGAAGCCCACGCGATGCGCGTGTAACAGAATAAGGGCCAATCGGCGCAACGGGGGTAGGTTCTTCACTAGCGACGTGCGAGGCTGCAAAGTGTCCCCTAATTTCGGGTGCGGAGGTAACTGTGCAAAGTCTATTTTTGTCGTGCAGAGGTACCTGGAAACGTGCTCTGGTGTCCCCTAATTTCGGGCGCGAGCTGGGCGTGTCTTGTTCAGGCTTGTTTTATGGTTATCACTTAAAAGTGGTAACTAAACACGGTGTTCAACAAAGTGGTACTTCAGTGATACGCCCTAACATGATTTTAACAAGTAACACCTTGTTTAAGGTTTCGCCAGGACACGAAAGAAACTGACGCGTACGTGGGACACCAATCACATGCGTCGGGCATGTACCAGATTTCGGATTGGTAAACGTAAAAAAGCCTTAAGGTGCAAGATTCGAGGACGGGGTTCCAAGTGTGTCGCGCCTGGATTTCGCCCTGTTAGCAGTAGCGAAAACCAGGGGACGTCGCGAATGCATATGCACGCGCGACGCCAGACCGCATCTACAACCGAACCTGGAGCGAGTTGAGTGTCTCTCTCACGTGTGACCATGGTAATTTTCCCCGCTTGTTGTATTTTGCGCGCTGCAAGACAGATGTTTCGCGCAGGTATATGTTTGGTAACTGCGTTTTGGGCCGTTGCTCGCCGTTCGGTTTTCTCACATCTCGACAACTGGCGTCCCGCTTGTGTGCTACCTGCGAACGGGGTGTAAGGAATTTGCATTCCTTACTGAGTCATACGCTAGCGCGTACACCCGAACTCCTCGACTCGTCACGTTCGGCCTCATTTCCCGAGTCGCGTCCGGCACTGTCGCCACATTGCCGAACCTACCCACGTTCCGAGGTTATATATAACTTCGTGCCTTCATTGCAATAGCGATATTGTATTCTCACGTTATAGTTCATTGATACTTCCTATATCATAACAGCTGGTATCAGAGCCCGAGCTTTCCAGGAATCTTCCGTTTTCCCGTTTACTTAGTAAAAGGTGGTCAGAGGGGATCATAAATATTTTTACGTCAACAACTACAGCATGTGCGCTAGCTTCTGACCCTTCCTGAGCGCCATGGCCCCGGTAGACTCGACAGTTGAGGGACAGTCCACCTTGACTGCTGCAAACCCTGCCCGGGAAACTGTGGACCTGCAAACATTAATGGAGCAATTGAAGAATTTGACAAGCGTCGTCAACAACCTCCGCGACGACAACCAGCGACTTCGCCAAGCACAGGAGAGGCATCCAGAGGAGCCCGGCGACGATGCACGAAGCGAGGCGGGTGAGCAACAACCGTCGCCAGTGGAGCTGGCACGACTAGCGGCAACAGCCCCGCGCTCGATACGTGGCGGCGTAAGATATCAGCAACCCGCTCCTTTCGACCCAGCTAATAAAGGCGTAACAGTGCGGCAGTGGATATTCGCCATGAATAAATATTTTAACGCAGCGCGAATCAGAGACGATCAGAAGCGGATCAGCCACGCGTTAACACTGCTGCAAGGGGCCACCCTACAGTGGTGGAAGGTCATCGTTGACTCAGCAGCAACTCGCACAGAAAGACAGCACGAACGGTCTGAAGAATTTGGCGACGAAGACGAGGCGGACTTGTTGTTCGGTGCGACCCACATTCGCACGTGGGCAACGTGGTGCGCCGAGCTTTGCAAGCGGTTTGAGCATGCTCCGGACTCAGACAAGGCACGCGAAACTCTACGCATGTGGAAGCAGCAGGGATCTGTGTCCGAGTACACCACGTCATTCTTGACGTTGGTGGACAGATGTGGCTACATGCACGAGTTGGAGAAGGTCGACAGGTACATGGGCGGCTTAAAGTCCGAAGTACAGTACCAGATAAAACTGCAACGCCCTCCGAAGCGGTTTCAAGACTACATCCAGGTCGCCGAAGCCGCTGATTCGCTGACGAAGCCGAGGTCGAACTTCTACGACGGAGGTCGCCCTCGAGAATAGTACCAGTGCGCCACGATAAAAGGGGTGGATGAAGTGGACATTTACGCAGTTGCTCTGCGGAATACGGGGCTATGCTACCACTGTGGCCAGCCGGGTCACATCCGACGCAAATGCCAAGAATTCATAGCCCTCCAGAATTCTATGGGGAAGAAGCCGGAGGAGCGACCGGGAAATGGGTCGCGTCAGTAAGTACCGGGCCCCTTACTGACGGGCAGGCTTCTTCGCCCGAGCCACACAGTCCCCACCGGGTCGTGATCCCGATTGCTGCAATCGACCGGACCCGGACGAATAAGGGGGAAGAAACTGCTGATCACCCTGTGTTGGTGGAGGGTAAAGTCAACGGAGTGTTACTGAAGATTTTCGTTGATGGAGGCATGAGTCACAGTCTCATACAACTGGACAGGGCTAAGAAATTGGGTATACCCTTACTCAAGTGTCTACCCGAAATCAACGCCCGACTAGTGGACGGAACGCCGCTGGCAATACGGGAACGAGTGGAGAACGTCGATTTTACTTGTGGGGAGCATGTAAAATTTTGGATGGGACTCCTGGCGACTATTCTCGACGAGTACGATGTGCTGCTGGGACGCGATTGGTTGCGACGGTACAACCCGAAGATTGACTGGACGACGGGCAAGCTCGACGGGATTTCCCGCGAGCTACCCAAGTGGATGGGGCCTCGCATGCGAAGCACCCAAGTCCACGCGATAACTTTCAAACACGCGATGAAAGCTGGAGTTGCAGCGTATGCCGTTGATTTTCGCGAGGTGACATTGACGGTCGAGACCGAAGACATCGAGAAGCTGTGTAAGGTCATCCCTCCGGACTTATCGGACCTAATTCGAAAATACCCAGAGCTTTTCCCGGACGACCTACCAACTAGACTCCCATTAGTCGACCTGAGGACCATCACATCGAGCTGGAACCAGGCGTCCAACCAACGGTACAGCGACAATTTCGGCTCAGCCAATCGGAACTGGAGGAATTACAGCAGCAGCTGGATTATCTTATAACGAAAGGTTTTATTCGGCCTAGCACGTCCCCAAACGCCGCCCCGAAGAAGGATAGAGGATCTAGAATCTGTATCGACTATCGCGCGCTCAACCTGATCACCATCAAGTCGCGTAACCCGATCCCGCGAGCCGACAAAATTCTCGACCAACTTCGCGGCGCCAAGTTTTTCTCGAAAATCGACTTACGGGGACGTTACCATCAGATTCGCGCCGCCATTGAAGATTGTCACAAAACGGCATTCCGAACCCGCTACGGCAGCTACGAGTACCTGGTGATGCCTTTTGGCCTCACGAACTCGCCCTCAACCTTCCAGATGACCATGAATGGAATTTTCAGGGAACTCTTGGACAAATGTGTCATCATCTACCTCGATGATACAGTGGCGGATTAAATTGTCCACATGTTTTGCCTTTTTTGGCATTTTTATGAGTGCAGAGGCGTATACATTAAGCCTTAATGTAAGGTGTGCATTAACGCTGAGAAGTTCAGTTAGAGCAGTCACTCCAGTGTTCAAACACCAAAGTAGTACCACACATGGTCCTTAAACTCCTAAGCATAGCATGGGAGAACATGTGGACAATTTGTACCGGAAAATGGTATCACACTAGATTCTAGGAAAACTAGTACCTAGTCCAGCGTCCCTTTGCCCGAA